TTATGCATTCCTCCATGAGAAGTTAGAGGGTCATCGTGAGCTCGTTTTAGCAAATTGGGGACTAACGATTTTGGGACCCACAATTTCCACGCGTATTCATCGTGTACTTGTTCCCTAGATAAATGCTCAGCTCTACGATAAACGAAGCCCTCGTCTGTCCTTAAATCCGGTACTCTTTCTTGATTAGCCTTCACCCGTTCTATCAATTCCATGTACTCCGCAGATTTGAATTGATCCGATTCAAGATCAACTAGTGATCCTTCAGGCAATTCCAATGCTTCTACTGCATCTTCATTGACACGCGACAAGACGTCAGGAACGACATTCTGTGAACCTTTTCTGTGTTCTATCTTGAAACGATAACGTTGCAAAGACAGAGCCCATCGGGCCAGACGTGAACTCAGATCGTTGTTGGACATTAGCCACTTCAATGAGGCGTGGTCGGTTATTATCGTAAACTCGTGACCCTCGACATAAGCCCGAAAGTTCTTTAAGCATACGATAGCCGCTAAACATTCCTGTTCAGTGACTGTGTAGTTGCGTTGCGCCTTATTCAATTTTTTTGACACGAAAGCGATTGGGCACTCGTCTCCCTCATCGGACAACTGCACTAGCACTCCACCCACACCGGTCTTGCTGGCGTCGCAGTGTATGTAGAACGGCCGTGAAAAGTCGGGGCTTTTTAACACGGGGGCTTCGCAGAGGCGGCGTTTTAAGTCCTTGAAGGCTTTCACTGCTTCCTCGGACAGAGCGAACTTCCGCTTTGTGGACATTACGTCCGTCAAAGGTGACGAGAGCGAAGCGAAGTTTGGAACGAACTTCCTGTACCAATTACACAATCCCATGAAGCTCCTCAAGCCCCTTAGATTTTTCGGTTCAGGGAAATCAATGATCGCTTTAATCTTATCTGGATCTGTCCGGATTCCTCCATCACCTACAATATGACCTAGATAGCGCACCCGTCGCATACAGAAATGACTTTTGCCAATATTGATTGTCAGACCCGCCTGCTTCAGATGTTTCGCTATCTCCAGTAGCACCTCAAGGTGACTCTCAAAACTTGGAGAAACTACGAGTAGGTCATCCAGGTATATGAATACCTCATTTCGAAGCCGAGCTGGCACCACTTTGTCCATCAGACGCGACATCGTGCTAGTGGCGTTACACAAACCGAACGGCATTACCCTATACTGGTAAAGCGGACGACCCGGAACGGTAAAGGCGGTCTTCTAACGAGATTTCTCTTCCAACGGCACTTGGCAGTAAGCGTCTTTCAGATCTAAGCTAGAAATGAATTCGGCTTTCGGTAAACGACTGAGAATGCCACTTATTTGGGGCAGAGGATACGCATCCTTCTCCGTAACGCTATTCACTTTCCGGCAATCCAGGCAAATTCTGATTTTACCAGGTTTATTTACCATCACGATTGGGGAAGACCACGGGCTTTCTGACTCTTCGATTACACCAAGCTGTAGCATTCGATCGACTTCCGCGTACATGGACTTTTCCACAGCTGGTGAAACAGGGAAATGCCTTTGTTTGACAGGTTTGGCGTTTCCAGTATCGATGACATGGGTGATCAGACTAGTTCTTCCCAAGCCATTTGCGGCGAAGGAAGGATAACTCTCGATGACCTTGGACAGCCGATTTCTCTGACTCTGAGTCAATTCGTGCTGCTCTACACCTTCCTTGGCTAAACCCATGTCTATTTCCGATATCAACAATCTGCTAGGCAGAAGATCGTACGCCTTCCAAAAGTCGATTCCGAGATAAAGATCGTTTTTAAGAGAAGGAATTATGTATATCTCTAGGAACTTTCTCTCGTTGCTGTACTCGATCTCTACTTTCATTCTGCCTACTATCGTCTGTGTTTTACCATCAGCGGTGCTGACGCTTTCTTTGAGGCGTTTAAATGCCACATCTCCGCGCGCCAACTCGCTCGCCAAATTCCCACCGACGCAACTAATAGACGCTCCCGAGTCCAGTAATCCGAAAACGGTGCGCCCGAGTAGCTGTACCTGCAAAAAGGGACGAGGATCTCTATTCCTCGCTGAGAGAGAACTCAAATGCTCCAGCCCCTTTCGACAACTCTTCACCTTCTGCCAGAAAGCAATCAGTCGTTTCTTCCCGCGGGCTTTGGAAAACCCTTTTGTCTTTTCATACTCAAATCCGGTTTTGGTTACGTCTGTGAATGGTTGACAATCCACCAAGAAATTGGGGTTGTCTGTTTGACCGTCTGGGTCGATTTCAGACGTTGCCGTCTTTAATTTGGAACTTATTCGGTATTCGTCCCCTGGTGGCGAAGCACACTCGAGGTCTTCGGTCTGTACGGCGATCTCGGTGTGCCTGCTTTCACGTTTTTTGAGCACGTTTCACAGCTAGGCTTATAAGTGTTAGAAGCTCCACAGCCATAACAAAACACTCTGCGCTCTGAGACACAATCTTGATACCTGTGACCTGGCTTGCGACAGTTCCAGCATATCAAGGATAAAGCATCGATCTCCAGCTTCACTTCGGGTACAGATTCTTCCTGCGACTCAGCGTTGAGCTGCAATTCTGCCACCTTCCGGCGAAACGGAACCTCTTTAGTGTACCCAGGTGTACCTATGATCTCTTCTAGGAAGGCTTCTCGTCTACGACACACTTCTCTTAGCTCTTGGACCGTAGCTACTTCTACGTTCAGCAGTTCGTGGCGTATGTCCGGCAGCAAGTTGGTCTTTAATACTCTCACGAGCTTACGAGTGGGCCACTGGACCTCTAGCTGATCCGTCAGGTTCGATATTGATTCATAGAATGTGTCAAAATCTTCATGGACCTTCTGCTTACGATTCCTAATCAATTCCTCGATGTCCACATCGTCTTTCTCAGTGCGGAATTGCACTCTCAACGCCTCGCACAGCCTATCCCAGCGCACTATTCCAACTGACTTATGATGCCGCCAGTAGAATTCGTTGGCCTTGCCCTCGAATAACACACTCACATTCCTACACAATATTGGGAAGTTGCCCTCCAGTGTCTGGTGGGTCAAAGCCTCCACTCGGTATATAAAGTTATCGACGGACATGCCTACACCCGAGAACTTGATCTTCCAGCCGTTTACAATGTGCACCACTTTATCGGGCCTCTGTGGAAGCTCCATGGAACCACTTTGTGGTGACGAGGGATGCACTTCATTCAGCAATGCCCGCTCGAACCCACGGCTAGGTCTAGTTTCCGATCTCTCATTCTGGGTCGGTTCTACCGTGGGGGTAGGAGACCGGCTGACAGTTGCCGCAGCGGCGATACTGGGCGTTACCAGTCGCTGCACTGAATCAGCTACGGACCCCTGGATCAGGTCAGAGATCCTTCTGGTCAAAGTAGTGAGCAGTCTGCGCTCCATAGCCGCGAAGTCGGCATTCCTAGTCGAGCTACTTTCTTCTGCCTCTCTTCTACTTTCCTTAGACTTAGAACGCGTGTTTTTCGCTATTTCCTTAGAGACAGCGCCACTGCTTGGCCTACATTTGACCTTGCATTCGGGACAGGTGTCGTTGGTCTTAAAATGATTGGTCACACACGTGACGTGAAACTCATGTCCACAACTAGTTAGGTAGACCTCATTATGGAACTGTATCACCTCTCGACACAGACTGCACGTGATAGTAGTGCTACCTCCCGCCTGAGCGGATTCCCTATCGGGCGACCGATCCAAACCCATCCTAACCAATATTTACCAAAAAAAATTTTTCTAATTATTACCGAACCTCAACTTTCTCAACCTTTATCCGGAATCTATTTTAACTCCAATCTGAACCTAATGTCAACTTAATGTGAACCTAACGTTAACTCAATCTGACCGTAAAGTCAATTCAATCTGAACTTATGTCAACTCAGTCTGAACTCATGCTTTTCGGTTCACGAATCGTAGGTGTTTTTTTTTTTTTTTTTTTTTTTCTTCTTCCGAACATTCTCGCGAATAAAATTTTTAGGAAAGTCAAGGCAACGTCCTCTCGAGGTTAGCTCTGTTCCAGGCTTCTTCTCTAAATCGGACAATTGCACCGGACTAGGGGTATCTACGTTTCTCACTCCTTGTCGTGTTCAGAAAAACGATTCTAATACCTCATACTCGGAAAAGCTGACGTTCCCTCTGTTCAATAGTGGTTAGGACATCCTCGGAAGTCATGTCACTAAGTTCCAATGCGACAGGATAGAATAAAGTCAACTCCCTTTGAGATCGTAGATCGATCAACGGCGAGGTACGTCAAACACGGTCAGGCGGTCAACCTGAGTTGCTCTCGGCCTGTATTTCCACTGCTTGATTTCACCCTCGTCGCCTCTCGTGAATAAAATGGTTTTGCGGACCTGTCACCTGTGGCCAGAAGGGAATACTTAGCTTCTCTCTTCTGTTTTCCTATCAGATTACGGTCTAGCACCACTCATCACTGGAAAGAAAAGTCAAAAGACTTTAGAAAGAAAAGGGAAAGAACTGATTTTCTCTTCTACGAGTCTTACTGAGTGATGGATTCACTCGACTCGGCCCCACACGTTGGGCGCCACTTTTAATTATCTAATCATAATCATAACTGTAACGTGTAACGACGATAGCCTGGTAGCACGGTCATCGAATGGTATGGGCGGCACGCGTTTTCATCGGCTCTAGCTCGTCGGTTTCGGGGGTGGTGGTCTTGCGCGAACCATTCGGACCTATCGCTCACGATAGTATGATCAGAAAATTTCAAGAATTAGCGTGCGTACGACAAAACAATGCTAGAAGCTATATCGGCAGGGCAAAACAAAAGAAAATCAGAAAGGATGGCAAGAAAGGGAAAGGAAACGAAAGAATGTCGGATTACGAGCCCACAGATGTCGAAGTGGCTCCTTTTGAACCCTCCCTACCAATGATCGCATCTTTGAAGTGGAAGAGTTCAAGCGATCCCTTCCCTACGATTACGCGTCCTTCAGCATGAGTTCAATCGGGGTTCTACTCAAAACTCAGAATCATATCTGAGCTAACACAAATAAACTTTCGGTAATTCAATATATTCAGCTTCATTTCTATCCTTAATTCTAATTAACGGGTATCATAATTCAAAAGCGATGGCGACAAAAATATGAAGTAATATAATAAATGGTAACAATATATAATGGAGGTATATGATGGCTTAAAGATATATATATATGGAGATACTGTATGATAAAGAGGTATAAACTACAAAGGAATATTTACTTTCTACAAATTTTCTATTAATCATTAGTTCGGTTTTCAAATTTCAGACTTTTCGCGTTCTGTTTCACTTAACTGAAGTTTAAAATTTGGATCTTTTGGAATTCAGGCATTATTCTTGATTTAAGCTAATATCGTTTGATTTTATTCGTGACTTGTCGATCAGTCAAATTGTTCGAGGCTTTGAGACCGAACCAGATTCAAAAGTACGGTCTATTCTCGATATTTACGATAGGTTAAGGTTAATAAACGAATTCGCGCTGGACTTATAGAGAGAACACGGTAGGATTGGTCACTTTAACGCCCAATTGGCGATTCAAATCTACTGGGTTACACATGGGACTCTTACATTTGTTCACTCACTCGATCTGGAACATCCCTCGGCGAAAGATCGATCTTCCGACGTGGTTGCTGAAACAAAGTGTGGTTCTCCACGGTTAAACGGTCTGGGGTCGTGTACCCAACAATCCTAATGGATTCTCCTCTACGGTCCACAGCATATACAGAAAGCGCGCATGTCTTTTGTCTCTTACACGAGAAGCGTACTAATTAAGTGGAAAAATAGACTTATACAACAATATATCCCACGCTATGGCAGTGCGCCCATCTCCAGGTCAATACACGCATGCACGTAGGCGAGCCGGTTTGGCGCACGCTTCCTGGGAAGATCTTTATCGGATCGTCGAGGTTTGGGACGGTGTCCGGATTGGCGACGCACGCTGCCTTGGAAAATCTCTATAGGATCTTCGAGGTTAGGGACGATGTCCGGATTGGCGACGCACGCTGCCAGGCTCACATTGCCTGCGGAATCTCGCCGAGCAGAAAGAAGCTACCCGCACTAGAGTGGCAGCAGAGTTGCCAGAGAGAAGTGGCTCTTGCCCCATCCCAGGCGGAGAGACGAAACAGAAAATCTGAAGCATCCACTCGGGCTCGACGCAGACGAAACGAATTAAGTCCGCATTCTTGTTCGACGCACAAATAGGAGCTCCTCCTTAGGTATTCATGTCAGGGCGCGTTTGTAGAGCGCTTCCCTTATGGGAGCTGGTTCCTCGCCGGCTGCGTATATCGGCTTACTTTGGCTCGGAACCAGGGTCTGGAGAGCGAGAGAGTCGCGTTGGCCGCTCCTCCAGAAATTTAGCGTAGAGATCGTCCGATCTCGTCCTGATGCAGCTTTCTGGAAGCTGGGCACCGTACGTTTCCGACAGTGACACACCAGCGAAAATGGATGAGCTGCGGACAATCATGTTTTATTCCGATTCCTCGGGATTCCATCCGCTTCAACTCACCGAAATATTACGGCTCTCACTGCAGGGAATCGTTTCCTGGTTTTCTCTATTACTGATCACTTGTATTTTTCACTGATTGCAAAAATTTTCGCGAGGTATGTGCAAAGATCAACTTTATGTAGCGAGCAGCCAAACGGAAAAGGAAATCGGTAGGTTGTCACTTTAACACCATGCCTTTCGACCTCACCCTTTTTTTCTAGGTCATGGATCTGTCAAAACTTAGTCAAAGCGACCCTGAAACCCTCACCCTTTTTACATGTGCCTTGTACTTGCCAGAACTACATATAAGCAACTCTGATCTTTGCGATCGATAGTTCTACAGGTTCTTGGCAGAAACTTTGCTCACGAGTTCTATCGATTCCGGCTAATTTTAAATTTGGTTCTGCTGCTTCAGGCGCCACTACACGCCGAGAAAGAGCAACGCACCAGCAAGAGCATAAGTACAAGCAAACAAACGGTTATAAAGAGAGACATTAGATTAAGAGTTGATCAACTACTCTTTGTGCTGCCATGGGCCGGCGCTTAGCCGAACACTAATAATATCCACCACTTATTCCTTTCCTCTTCTTAAATCACTAATACTAACATACTGTTGAGCTATTGAGATTTTTCAATAGCGTAGAGTTAAATCGACAATTTGACTTTGATTAATTCACAACACAGTTTGTTTGATTATGTTAGTTTCTTTATTTTCCATGCAAGGCGGGGATAGAGTGGGCAAGAGTAGCAACAGGCGGACCCGTGGTGGACCGTGTTGCAGCGAAAACAATAATGGGTTTTTGTATAAAGGTTAATAACAATGTAGCAGGTCACTGTGCCAACCGACGATATGTTGTACGTTTTATGATGCTAGATTTCGAAGTGTCTCTGCTGCGCAGACGAGCCTCCCTCACAGCCTCGTCGGCTGACGATTTCGGGAGGGGAAAATGACTCAAGAGCGCAGAGTCAGGTAGGCAATGTTGTGAGCTTAGCTCTGCCTCTTTGCGCTGCCATGGGCCGGCGCTTAGCCGACACCCCCCGTTGAAGAGCCGGGTCTTCGACATCATTCTTGGCAGCATACACAGCTTGCGATAGCCCTCGTGGTGCTCCCAGTAGCCGTTTGAGCTCAGCTACCTGGAAACGCCATCTCTGCCGGCGATCAGTTTCGTCACCCTCCAGCGGCCACTTAAGTGGAGGCAAGTTCCGTTACGAGGACCACGTCGCCGACGCTGAGGTTAGGCTGCTCAGTCCTCCATTGCCCTCTCCTGCAGAAGCGTGAGGTACTCCTCTCGCCAGCGGGACCAGAAAGTCTGCTGCAGGAAGCTGACCTGCTGCCAGCGATCAAAACGATTGAAGTTGAGTCCGGTCACATCTGGTTCCGCGAAGGTACGGATTGGAGCAGTACCTAAGAAATGCGCAGGTGTTAGCATGTCTAAATCGTCAGGATGCTCTGAAATGGGAAGCAATGGCCTGAGTTTATTATGGCAGTGATATGGCACACAAGCGTTCTCAGGTCATCAAAGCACAGCAAGGAGCTGGAAGCGGAACGGTAGAAATGATGCTTGGCTGTTTAACCGCAGCCTCCCAGAGTCCGCCAAAGTGGGGAGAGCGAGGGGGATAAACCGCCAGTCAATATGATCTGAACGCAAAACTCCTGAACTTCCTCATATGCCTCTGCCAGGAACAGCTCTCAACTCTCCAACTCGCTTGCCCCACAAAGTTGGTTGCGTTATCGGACCAAATTTCCCTGGGCCGACCGCGAGTTAAAATGAATCGCTTTAGTGCGCTTATGAACGCTGGCGTCGATAGATCTCACAAGCTCCAAGTAAACGGCCTTGGTGGCAAAGCATATGAAGAGGCATATGTAGCATTTGATGGGTGGTCTGGTCCGCACCTCACTCTATAAAAGAACGGACCACAAAAATCCACACCGGTGACTGCAAAAACGTACGACGCATTCACACGATCCTTCGGCAAGCCGGCCATAATATGCTGCAGCAGGCGCGGCTTAGCCTTAAAACATCTGGTGCAGCGATTTACGACGCTGGCCACTGTCTTGCGCCCTCCAATCGGCCAATACTCATGCCGAATAAGTGCGAGCAATGACCGAGGCCCAGCGTGCAGATTCTGCTCATGGACATGCACAATTACAGCAGATGTAACGGGATGACGCCTTGGAAGAATGACTGGGTGCCGTGCGTTGAAATCAAGTGATGAATTTTCCAACCGCCCACCGACGCGTAACAAGCCATGGTCATCCAGGAACGGCGCGAGTGACGAGATGGAGCTAGACGACTGCACCTGCTGTTCGTCACGCAGAGTCTTGTAGTCAGGCCACAAATGCACTCGCTGAATCGAACGAAGAAGTATCCGCGTACCACCAACGATGTCAGCTACTGTTAATCCGGACGACCTTTTGCGCTGCAGAAACTTGAATACATATGCGCTGGATCTTTCCGAAGGAATTGGAGAACTTTCGGCCGTCAGATAAGTCTACGAATGGACAAACTGCAATCAGGACTCTCTTGCGCAACTCCAGTGTTGGCGCAGATTGAACAGACGCTGCTGGCCACAGAGGTTGCTCATCTTGAAGAAAGGGTGGCCCGTGGGCCCAAAGATGCGATTCCAGAAGCTCTGACGGCGAAGCGCCTCTGGACAATATGTCAGCAGGGTTCTGGGCGGTGGGCACGTAGCGCCACTCCATCTGAGCAGTCCGCTCCTGAATGGCTGAGACCCGATTTGCAACGAATACGTTAAAGCTTGATGAGTCATGGCGCACCCAAGACAAGGCAGTTGTGGAGTCCGACCAGCAATAGAAGCTTCCAGTGAACAATTTAAGTTTCGTATCTCACTGATCAATTGAGAAAGCAAGTCAGCGCCACATAACTCCAACTTGGGCACCGTCAATACCTTAAGAGGGCGACACGAGACTTCGCACACAGAAGTTGCACGTGCGCGCGATTATTTGTCCTGACACAACGTAAATACATGCTCCATAGGCATCTAGGCTGGCGTCACAAAACCCGTGAACTTCCACTGTTGAATTGGGGAGAACTGACAGACGAGGAAATCTAAACAGTTGAGGGGTGGACAAACTCCGCAGAAAATGGTCCACGCTGATGAAAGAGACTCTGGCAGACTCTCATCCCATTGGAGCTGCTCCTTCCATACCAACTGAAGGAAAATCTTTGCCTTTGCGATGACAGGCCCAATCAGTCCTAAAGGATCATAAAAACGAGCAATCGTTGACAACATTGAACGTTTCGTCGGCTTTGATGGCAGCTGCGTGGGTACTACCGAAAAGAGAAAATTATCAGATGAAGGCTCCCAAACCAATCCAAGAGCCTTGTGAAGTCGGTGCCATCGTCGAACCTTAGCAGCGTTTCCTTATCCTGTCAGGATTCCCTCAAGTACGCCAGGGACGTTGGAGCACCATTTCCGAATTGGGAACCTTCCCCGAGCCAATAACTGGGATGTCTGCCTCATCTTTTCGCGCACTTCCTCTACAGATCCTCCTCCATCATCAAATCGTCGACATAGAAGTTGGAGGTCAACACTTCCGAGCCAATGGGAAATGCAGCCCTCTCTTCTTCTGCCAATTGGAGCATGGAACGAATTGCAAGATAGGAAGCCGGTTTGGTTCCATATGTTACTGTGTCGAGCTTGAACGCCTTCACATCCTCGTGAGGGGAATCCCTCCATAAGATGCACTGCAGGTAATTGTCCGGCTCAGATACTCGGACACACCTGTACATCTTGCAAATGTCACCAGTCAGCGCAATGAGGAACGTACGAAAACGAAGCAGCGTAGTAGCAGCTTTGGCTGGATAGTAGGCCCCGCCATTAGGACCTCGTTTAACGAAAAACCTGTTGATGTTGTGGCAGATCCATCGAACACAACCCGCAATTTGGTGGTCGTGCTGTCCTCCTTAAACACGCAATGATGCGGTAGAAAATAGCGACAATAGCAGTTCTGATTCCACCAACGACATATGATTAAGCTCTTGGTACTCCCTAATGAAAGATGCGTACTGAGCCTTCAGACGCTCAAGTTTCCGCTCCAAGTTGAGGAACCGCCGATATGCTTGCGTGTATGAGTCGCCCAAGATATCCAAACTTTTCTTGATGGGCAGCTTCACGGCAAACTCTCCAGATGACAGGCGCGAGAAATTTGCTTTGAAGTGATCTTCACAATCGACATCCTCCTGCTTGACCATTACCGAATCTTCAGTGGAACTTTCAACCTCCCAGAAACGCCTCAGTAACAGTTCCACTTGATCAAGAGACTCCTGCCTGGCGTCAGATGAGGCCTGAGCCCCAAGTAAGGCTGTCCTACGCGTTTGCTGACCACCTCCTGAAACCACCCATCCAAGGCGAGTCTTCTGAAGCGATGGCAAGCCAACATCCAATTTGATTTGGCCAATGCACAGCAGCTCGAAGAATAGGCTAGCCCCAATGAGCAGGTCAATACGCTGTGGCCTGAAGAACTGCGGATCTGCCAATGGTAAATTCGGCGGAATTTCCAACCAGAAACGTCAACTGAAAAGCTGGGCTGCTGCTCGGTGATTGTGGGAGCTACCAACGCGACGAAACTGGTACTGTAGTCAGAGGCTTGGGACTGCAAGTTGAGTCCCACAGTATAGCCCTCCGATACAAAACTGGAATCCCCAAGACCCGATACTGCGGCCGACGACATGGTCCTTTTCAGTCTAAGTTGTTGGGCGAGGCTGGAGGTTATAAGGTGCATTTGTGATCCGGAGTCCAAGAGTGCCCGACATGGTACGAGCGATCCAGCACGATCCCTCAGCAGAACAACTGCAGTGGCTAAGAGCACAACATCCCTGCAAGAGTTCTGTGCAACCAGAGAGGCAGCTGAGGACTGTGGCTGCGCTTCAGGTGCGGGAATGAAGAGACAACGGGTTCCGTGGGCGAGGGTCTGGCGTTTAAATGCAATAAGGTGTGATGTTTGCTACCACAGTGACGACAAGTTGATGACCTGCAAGTGCGCAATTGATGGCCAGCCTTCAGGCAATTCAGGCAAAGACCAAGCTTTTTCACCTCAATTAGGCGAAGGGACGGCGAAAGATTCCCAAACAGGGCGCATGTATATATGCTATGGCCAGCAGTATTGCAAAATAGACACTCAAGAGAAACA